CTGTTTGATCATTTTCGGGATCATACAGTAGAGGGAGCTGGAGACCCGGATCAGCAGGTTCCTCACCGAATAACATGTACATATAGAGACCAACAGCCATTTACACATGCAGTATGGTAAAAAAAAAAAATCACCTCTAAATTGAATACATATATTATTTATATACGCAGTATTGATAAAAGTCCATTAGTGGTAGAATTAGGTGTTGTTCTTGTTGTGGCTGTTGGTTTTTGTTAGCAGAAAATACGGATAAACTATGTCAACTGAACATTCTATTAATAAAACTGAAAAGTAAAGAACGACTTCGAGTGCGAGACGGGGAGAGGAAGTGAGGAGAAACCGAGCTGACTTGGTGGTGATGGTGCGATCTTTCCTCAGGCTTTCAGCTCCTGCTTTCTCCTTCTGGACCTCTCCCTTCTTCGGTGGCGGCTTCTTCTGCTTCCTATGACGAGCAGCACTGATGCTCTCGGCGCAGTGCTTGGGAAGCAGCTGAGAAGTCATCGGGCAGAAGGAGACAGTGAGGAAAACCATTTCAAAAATTACCCAAGATCCAATCACTACTGGAAAAAGAATGGTTAGTTCATAGTTTTACCTGGTCCTGGAGGTTGCACTGCTCAGCACATATCTCTAACAGCACGTTGCTGGTTTGCTTGGCTATCTGCTCTAAGAAGGTCACACACAGCTCCAGACTCCTTTTCACCAATACGTCGATCTGCAAAACAAGCATGGTGGTAGTATGACATTTGACACAACCTCCGATAATTTCGGTTCTCACACAAAGCAAAGCTGACCTCTTCTGGACAGAGAGCATTTCCACAGTGGCTAAAGTGGGAACAGACCAGAGGAAAGGACATGAGGTAACGATTCATGGTCACCTCCTCGCTGCTCTGGTTAAACATCTTCTCAAAGACACGCGGAAAGAAGCTGTGGGTGGGGAAAAAAAAAAAAAAAAAACAACAAATAGGTGAAGAAAAAGACAAAGGGAAACTGAAGAGAGGAAAGAAGAGAAGAGGAGTGACAAAGCCCATAGGTAACTAAGAGAGGAAAGAAGATGAGAGGAGTGACAAAGCCCATAGGTAACTCACCAGAAAATGGACAAGTCCGATGTCTCCTGCAGCAGCTGGTCTACATTGTCCACCATCCTGGAGTGGAACTGGATCACGTTCATCACCTTCGCTAAGTCAGGGTAATCTTTGATCAGCAGAGGAGCCTTGTTCACGCTGGTGTAGGCCTACAGAAGGAGACAATCCATGACCAATCAGCTCAAATAGTGAACTTGTTGTAAACTGTGTCCTGTACAGCTGCCCACCTGTAATCTAAACCAGTCCAGTCTGAGGGCCTGGAAGTCAAATTCCGCTTTGTTTTCCACTGCAGAGCAAAAAAAAAAAAAAACAACCAACATCTGATTACCTGCTGGATTGATTCAGTGTAAGTCTCTGGGTGGATATCACGTTGTATTTACCTTGTTTGACGGAGAGAGAAGACAGAGAGGAGACAAACGAAGTCATCAGGACCGATTCCTCCTCTGGACACACGTACATGTTCTGTCACGACAAGAGACAGAGTTGGACCCAGTCACGGCCAAAGGTTCCCACACGATTGTATTCAACCTGCGGACATGACTGTATGGGGCCAGTACCTGTATGGTGTCGTTGAGAACCAGAGCATCAAACTGTGCCAGGTACTGGACGTAGTAGCGCTGTACTACGTAGTTGTACTTTTTCAACAGAGCCCTCAGCTCTTCCATGTAGAACAGCAACTCTGCCATCTGGCTGTAAAAAGGAATTAAAAAATTAAAAAAAAATATTTCAACAAATATCAATCTTAATTTTTTTATTTAATTATATTTATTTTTTCTATTTGAATTTTTTGATTTTTTTTTTTTTTTTTGCCATGCCTTACTTGTCTATGTAGTCCTCCGGCGTTTTAATCTTTGGCATGTTTTCCGAGTGTCGAACGAGCCACAGAACTTCATCTCGGCAGAACGAAAGACCCATGAAGACAAACAGCGCCTTTTAAAAAACAAATAAAGAGCAAATTTAAAAAAACAAAAAAAAAAAACAAAGGAAATGAGAATGTAAAATCTAGCAAAATATAAAAAAAAAAATAAAAAAAAATCTATCTATATTATTATTTTTTTTTGAGTGGTGGCCCTACAGCTTCTCTATATTATTTTTTTTTTTTGAGTGGTGGCCCTACAGCTAAATTAAATATTCTAATATTTCCACCTTTGGTCCCAGGAGTCCAGGTTCGTCCTCCAGAACATTCAACAACTCCTTCATCGCTCCTCTTAAGAAATGTCTCTTCTCTCTGTGTATTGCTCCACTGAAAACAACACAGATTTTTGTTTTTTTTTTATCAAATGAAACATGTACTGTACTGTACTATTTACTTACGACACTTCCTGCTACACTCACCAGTTGATTAAAAAATGCTCACGACATTCTTTAATATCCGCCACTCGCTTCCCATATCTGAAGAAATGGAAAATGAATGAGAAAAATGAGCAAAGAATATTTGTAAAGCACAGGTGGAACGTAACAAATGACCTCTACTCACGTTACTATCATGGAGTAGTTTTTGTGAGTAATTTGTAATTTTTCTGTAGTTTCAGTAATAGGTAATTTTACTTTTACTTATGTACATATGTACGATTCATTGGAGATTGGAGTCCTTTTTTGCAACAAGAAACTTAAAGTAACTAAGTCACTTTTACCCAAAGTACATTTTAAATTAAATATTTATTTTTACTTGTATTCGAGTAGATTTTTAGATGGGTACTTTTACTTGAGTAGAATGTAAGTAAGATACTTTTTCTTAATTACATTTTCTTTCACCTCTGTTGTACAAAGACATTTGAAATTATTATATTTTTCCAAATATCTTAAATAAAGGCCATTCCATTGTTTAAGGTGTCATTTTTAGCTTCCAGCTTCCATACCCTTTCATGCTGTCGAAGATGTCCTCGGAGACCTTGTGTGCGTTCAGCATTTCATCTCTGGTGAGGGTGATGTAGTAGCTGCTGCGCAGAGCCATCTTCCACAGCTCCTGGGAGGTCTGGTTGCTGCTCAGGCTGCTGTGGCACAGGAGGAAGCCAACTGCAGGGAGGGACGTCAGCGAATTAGACACTGGACTTTGAGAGCAGATTCTGGAGGACTTAGTTCAAGTAATCTAACAACAAACGCTGTTTGTTTTTACTGTGGGATCACATTTTACTTAAAATATATTTTTTAATGCTCAGTAATTTGTATGCAGTTTTAATGACTGAGTACTGGTCAGCGTTACTTACTGATTATCCATCGCTCCATCACCTCCATGGGTAAGTATTCACAGGCTACCTGAAGTGGAGGATAAGTTAAAAAACAAACAAAGCCATATTCAGTTGAAACAAATGTTGGGTATTTCAATAAAATACGTAAGTTAAAGATGGCATCAAATATCTCTTTATGGTATGGAAAAAACATTACAGAATTTTGTGTTTCGTTGCACCCATATATATATATATATATATACATATATATACATATATATGTACATATATGTATATATATATATATGTATATATATATACAAACTATATATATGTATACATCCATGCAAATATGTATATTTGTATATGTGTTGCACAGTTGCCCAGAGAAATCAAATGAAGTAAGGACCGGGTGGACAGGACGGAGGGAGGACTCACTGTGTCACAGCAAGCTGGGTCCAACATGGTGGCCGGAGCACTCAGCAGGCTGAGGAGCTGGGCGCTCCGCCACTGCTCTGCCAGCATGTTCCTGCGTGGGTAGACGTTCTTCAGAGACAGCAACGCTGCCGTCACGGACTAGTGGGGCAGAAAAGCTGACAGTGATTGAGGCAGGAGGAGACAGTGATGACAACCCATCAATTCATGGTGTCCAACAACAAGAGCAATTATGATGAACGCTCAAAGGCTGCGTGAAACCTCCAGCCCCGGCATTTTGTTGACTTTTTCATGTGAACGATAGAAACAAACGGCTGATTGTTGGTCATGGATGACGCTTGTCATACGGTGGAAATGTTAGAACTGACGGCTGTTTTAAAATGTTTTTTAAACATTTTTTGAATAATACATTTTGTTTTATAAAAATATATTTCAGAGCTACACAAAGAAATATATTTATTGTTTTTACTTATAAAGTAAAGTACTTGTTGTTCTACAGGCAGAAAATACCAGTTTTGTACAATATAAAGAATATCTCAACCTGACCTGAACTATTTGGCCTATATTTGATGTATTGCCATATGTATGTTTTTGTTTGTCAAGCACAGCCAGGTTGAATTTTGTCCATTCATCAACATTACTATAATCTCCACAGGTGCCACATGTTGCCCAGGAGCCACAGGTTTCAGCTCTTTGGTCTAGATATTTGGCAAAGCGTGAATGTTGGTGATATTATTATTATTATTATGATATTATCTGTAATGAAACGGCAATTCACTATTCATATATATTTAAAAAAATTAATCATCATCAGCCATCATGTATATATATATGTTTATATATGTATATATATATATATATATCATCTCCCTAATGCTCCTACTACCGTAATTTCCGGACTATAAGCCACTACTTTTTTCTTTGAACCCTGCGGCCTAAACAATGATATGGCTAATTTATGTATTTTTTATAGGCTAACGGAGTTCATACCGCTAGCATCAATGACTTGGTATGCTACTGTGTGTTATACTAGTAGCGCATAGCGAAGGTTGAGAGCAGTTTGAGGATAAGCACAAACTGAATAATGTTATGCTAATGTTAGCTTCCCTGGAGCAGATCACTACGGTCC